GGTCCACTTTATACTATCCACAGCATATTTAAAAATGGACAACAGTGAAAATGCATGCAACAACATTTTCAAAGGAGGAATAATAATTCTAACTTGATTAAGAGAACTGGAGAAAAAGAACAGCTGAAAGAAGCAGTGAAATTCATAGGTTCAAGTTCCACAAACATGCTTCTGCAGCAGCTTACTGACCTCCTATTTTCCCTTATTTCTACTTGCTACAGCCTTCCCTGCTCCTTGTTGACACTTACGCACAAACTATTTTCTGTGCTTGCACGTTTGAGTGAAAATACAGGTAGCTAGATGAGGTAAGTTAACAAAGACTTAAAATAGTCTATTAAAAACTGTGTTCCTCTTTAACTGGATCAATTCTCATTTATTAAACAACTATGCTTTTAGTTTAACTGAGGTATCCAAGCATCTATAATGAAGTGGAATAAATCCATGTCTTAATATTTGTGGTTGCTGCCTTCTGTGTTTCAGAGTCAGTTGAGATTAGTGAATGCATAAGCAGCACGGAACAAAAATATGGCACTCAAATATTTCCCCAAGATCTTTCTCAATTGCTTCTCTTGCAGGAGGCTGAAAGCTCAGAAAGCTTTCAAAGACAGAAAAAAAAAAAAAAACCAAACAGAATAGACTGGTTTAATGTTTCTTTTCCTTTCCTTCCTTACCTCCCCATCTCTTTTAATATTATGTTTATAAAGGTATAAGATGTTTATTTTTGGCACCTTTGGTTGTATTCATGATTACTACAGGAACTAACTCAAATTTGCAATAACACACATAGCATAAAAGTGATACTCCTAAGTCATCACCAAAAGTTCTTGTGAAAAGACTCTATGCATCAGTAACTGAGCAACTGAGGATTATGTATTTTCCTTACATGCTGTCCTTGTTTTCAGCATATCAAAAAAACGCATTGCAAGAGAGCTAAAAAAGACCTCTGAAGAGGTCCATTTAATTTAACCAATTTACATATGAGGAAAGCAGAGATTGTAGAGTGAGGAAAAAAAGCTGGGCAAAACCTAACATTTCATATAAACACTACAAATATCACTACATTTGGGCAAACTTTAGTAGAACGAGAGTAGCTGTGATCCCTAAATAAACTACAACTACTTCTGTTTCAAACTGTTCAGCTTTAAATTAATTTATGAAACACATCATTTTATTATCACTAAATAAAAGTTTTGGGACATATTTTTAAGGCAAATAAACTCATGCTTTTCCAGAAAAGAAACTAGCAGTGTTCCCCCTTTCATTTTCCAATCCATTAAAAACGTCCCTGATTTCTAGAAGAAACTTCTCTCACTTAAAAATACTTACATTTACTCTCTTGAATAAGAAACCCTTTTCATTCTGTCTTTGCTGATGTTAAGAAACTATACATTACTGAAATATGCTTCTCTTTTCCAGATGATTTCTCCTGTCAAGTTTCCTAAATTTAACTAGATGATATGCTAGTCCTGTTAGAACAAGGCCATTTTTCACAACCAAAAATTTTCAAGTAATAGTGTAAATTTGAAAAATTGTACTTCTGTTACTATTATTACTATAAATAATTCCTCTGATTCCTAGCCATTAAAAGTTTCCTTTCTTTAGTCTGTTTATCTTATAGTAAACAACTGTAAGACACTGCGTCAAACCTTTTTGTCTTTATTTTTCGCCTCTGTCAGCAGGTCTTCTTGTTAGTAAGGATAGCAAGGTAGAAACATAAACAGTTGCTATATAAATAATGCTGAGGATAGCTATGTTGTTGTCTTCACACCACTTAGAACGCTTTCAAATCTGACAATGTTTAAATGACTACTCTTCGCACTTTTAAATATACACCATTAAAAAAAGCATTATTTTAGAAGCACACATGCAAGTCAGCCAATATTGTTTTAAACAAACCTTGAACTGGAGAGAAACTGATTTCATGGAGCACCCTGCCAGCGGCACCTGCTGGGACTGAGACACTCTGAACAGAACAGACCAGCTGATGGCTGGATCAGTGGATGACAGGAGAGCAGCAGATGTTGTTTATCTTGACTGTTGCAAGACTTCTGACACTGTCTCCTATAAAACAGTACAGACTAGACAAATGGACAGTGAGATGGGCTGGAATCTGCCTTAAATGTCAGGCTCAAAGGGTTGTGACCAGCATGAAGTCTAGCTGGAGGAGGAAAATCACTGCTAGTACATCCCAGGGATCAATACTGGGGCCAGTACCGCTTAACCACTTCATTAATGACCTGGATTATGGTACAGAATACACCCTCAGCAACTTTGCTGATGACACAAAGTGTGAGGAGTGGCTGATATACCAGCTGGTTGCACTGGCATTCAGAGGGATCTTGAAAAGCTTAGTAATAAACCAACAGGAATCTGATGAAGTTTAACAAAAGAAAATACAAAGTCCTTCACCTGGGGAAGAACAACCCCAGGCATCAGTACAGATCGGGGATGATCAGCTGGAAAGCAGCTCTGCAAAAAAGCACCTGGGGGTCCTGGTGGATTCCAAGTAGACCATGAGCCAGCAGTGCACCCGTGCAGCAAGGAAGGCCTACAGCAATGTTGCCAGTGGGTCAAGGGAGATGATCCTTCCCCTCTACTCAGCACTGATGAGACATGTCTGGAGTGCTGTGTGCACTTGTGGGCTCCCCAGTACAAGCAAAATATAAGCATCCTGGAGCGAGACCAGTGAAGGACTGCAAAGACGATTAAGGGATTGGAGCATCTGACATATGTGGTGAGGCTGAAAGAGCTGGGACTCTAGCCTGGCAAAGAGAAGGCTCAGGGAGATCTTATCAATGTGTAAAAATACCTGATGGGGGCAGGGGTAAACAACACTTCTCGGTGGTGCCCCACGACAATGCAAGAGGCAACAGCCACAAATCAAAACAGAATAAATTCCACCTGAACAAAAGAAAGCACTTTTCTACTATAAGGGTGGCCAAGCAATTGAATCACTTGTCCAAACAGCCAGCTGCTCTAGCTGACTCTGTTTTAAGGAGGGAAGGGTGTTGGACTAGATGAATTTCACACTTCTTTCCAATCCCAGGTATTCCATGGTTCTTTCAGGAAGAGACAAAAGGAGAGAAACTACCTCTGAGTAACATGGGCTATGGACTTAATGTCAGTTGTTTTCTCTGCACAGACCATGGCTTAAATAAGATGAAACAGTTCCTCTGCACATCAACTGCCTATATTTGATTGCATTCTATGCAGATAAATTGTTTATTAGACTTTATTAGACTTAGGAAAAGCCTCATTGTGCAGATAAAAGAAAAGGTTTCCTGATGCCCAAGACTCTAGCCCTAACCAGTATGAGAACCACCTAACCAAGATTAAGACAATGTATTCGTTTTCACCAGTCAAATAAAACACTTTATTGTCTATTACAATGTCCATTTGTATCAGCAAACATCCATCACTTTAATGGATTGCTTTGCCTCCCCTCCAGTCAGTACTCAAGCAGCACAGCTAGTTTAACCAAATGGGCTAATGGGAAAACATCCTCCTCCTTTCATAATGCCTGTTCTCTCACATCAACATATTGACAGTTTTGTTTTACAACTGTAGGAAAAATGAGAGGAACCAAGAGAACGTCACAGAGAAAAGCAAGAACGTCTCACTCGTGAGGAGCAGGCACCTGTGCACTGACCCAATTAGACATTCAAACACTTGTCACTCTGGAGCTGGTTGGTTGTCACTCATCCAAGCAGCCCCAGGGGGCCTATTCTATGGTGGCATTCCCTGACAGGAGAACTGGAGCTACAGAGGCAATGAGGGCACAGTGATAGGGTGCCAGGATCCTGGTGAGCAAGAGCAGCCAGCAGCAAAGCCAAAGAACCTCAGAGCTTCCTTAACTTGGTTACCATCCAATAAGTCTTTCAGAGTCTTCAATGGTTATCTTTTTTTCAGAGCAGTCTAGTTTAAAAAACTTACAGTAACAGTTCTCTTTATCCAAAGCTACATTTAACTCTTGAGTGACTAACACAGGAACCATTTCAGAAGAGATCCTGGCAAAATTAAAAAAAAAAAAAATCGTCTTTGCAGGGAAAGGATGCACTAAATGTTACTTTTAGTAACACCGCCAGCATATAGTTCATAATGTTTCAGTGTCCGTCTCGTCCCTTCTATTTAAAACATATTATTGGTGCTTTCAGATACTCTGCTTGCTTAAACACATAAATAAGGGATAAAGCACTGTGCAGTTATCCATGCCTACACACCATAAAAGATAGAAAAGGTCTGTTCTAGTAGACTGTGCACAATACTGTATTAAAGACCCCCAAATCATATTTTTCATTCAAAAAAAATATCAGATATTAGAACACAGATGACTATTCAGCTGCTACTACTGACTTCAAGTAAAGCTATCTCTGTTTTTATGCTGAAAGATTTATGCAGTTCAAATACAAGAATAGGGAGGGATTGAAGGAGGATTGAAAAAAGAAAAATCAAAGCTTGCTTCAAAGCTTCTAAAACAGGCATTTTAACCTTAGGACCTAAACCATGAGAATAAATAATTCAGAAAGTCCCCATCACTAAATCTGTGATCTATACTAGGATTAAATAAAAAATAATAATCCATTTTTTGCTGCAAAAATATCTCAAGTTCCTTCTAAGTCTGTTTTTCCAGACTCACTTTTTTACTAGTTGACTCGTCCTCCTGTTCTCTCCAGTGACAAACATCAGAAATTATTAAGCTTACCTTCAATTATGTGAAGCTATGAGATACTTTCAGCTGTTTTTATAGTTAACAGATTTGATATGAGCCCTTCAGTTAAAAGCTGAGCTGACATTTAAAAAATTATATTAATCACAAGCTCTTAACTCAAACAAACATGGAAATGCAGGTAAACGCAGAATACGTTCTACGACTACCTTGATAGTACTCAATAGAAACTGAATAGAAAAGGGGAAACTTAACAGATAGAAACTTAATGCCAGTAGTTTTTTCCCCAGTTAGCATGGGAAATTAAATTTTAAAGGAAAACATATTATCTTACCTTTGTACAAATAGCTTCAGAGCAAGATGGTCTATCTCTTTAATTTTCCTTCTTTCTTATCCTCTGTATCACAGGTCTTTGTCTTACTGCCTTCCCTGGAAAAATAATATACAACCTGAAATATTTATAGAGGCTAATAATTCCATTCACTGTTAAACTACAACAAATACATCAGATATGTCTTGATATAGCTGCAATACTAAATCCAGTTAAGTCAAGTGAAATAACATTTTAATAGGAACTAATTTATATGTGTTAGTCTGAAGAAAAAATAAGAAGCATTATGAAAAAACAGAAGCTCCCTAGGTTTCAAAATCAAGTTTTGCATTTAGCTCTCCATAATATAGCTGGTCACGTCATATCAGACCAGACCACCCATATTATTATTCAGGTTTGCTGTATCGTTGGTAAAAAACAGTTGGTGCTTTGCAAAGCTTGAACAAGCCAACAGGAAAACCTAACCACATATTTCTAATGTTCAGTAACTGAAGACCCACCAGGTGCTCTCTTTCCTCAGGACCGAACACTTCAGTGCTCTTTGGGATACTGATGTCCAAGCTTCTAAAAAGACATCTGCTGGAAGAGGTCACAGCTGCTGACAGCAAGCCCCCACTGCAGGTAAAGCCTTTGGTCACAGCACTTGCCCAGAAAGAGAGAGAGCTGGGCTCATAGTCAATTTGTAAACTGCCTGATCTCTCACTTTCTAGGAGAATATCCCAAATTCTAGTTGATGGATAGGACAGACAACCCCCCTTCTTCCATGCAATGCCTCCAAATTGAAAGGACAATACAAAGAAGGAGGAAACAGCAGGAGAGGTTTTGAATTCAGCTACTACCTTCTTCATTCATTCACAAGAACTGTGCACCAAGTTTCTCTTTTCTTTTACTCTTTGTTAAGAACACCCCATTTTAAACATATTTGATGGTTTTTTTTCCATGGTAATGCATGTGTGGAGTTTACTTTCAAGCAAGCAAGGTTCAAGTAGGATCATGTATTTTCAAAGTGAGCTTCAAAAAATTTCTGAGGATTTCCCTTACAGTCTTTTAATTGTACAGTACATGTTGCTCATCTACAAGTTCAGCTATGCTTGTCTCTAGATGTAGTCCTTATTTCAGTGAACTTGTGATGAAGTGAAGCTAACAGCAACAGATTTACATCGCTGCAGCACCTCTTATTTTATATACTGTACATAAAAGCTTACATTTCATCTGTAGAAAAGCAATTAAAGTTCACCATTTACTTAGAACTGCAGATTAGCACTATTTTGTAAGGTAAAACAGGAGAGACTGCAAAATCTCAACTTACAACAGTGATACAGTAAGACTGGTTTAATTTCCCACCAATAACACAACCGTACAATTTCTTTCAGTATACTTTAAAATTCCTTTTTATTGTTCAACTGGCCTGCTAATTGGCAAAACCCTAACTGTTGATCAGAATTCTCTTGTAGCTGTTTCTTCCAGTAACAAACAGCAATTCTCATAAATTGCTCTTTTTCATGCACTTTCAAATTAACTTGTTGACCTTACATAATAAAGCACCAGAAAGAATACATTATATTTATAACTTTGGGAGTTTGGTACACATAATTTATTTCACTGGGGTGAAATCCACTTTGGTAATTCACTTCATTGCCTTCATCTTTATTCAGGCACTCAAATCCCTTCCTACTACCCGACTCTGAATTCAGCTGGAACAGCTGTCTGCAAACCAACAGGACCTTGATAAGCCAAAGTCAACATAGAACTTGCATGCATGTAGCAGTTCTGAATGCAACTCCTAATTGATCAAATCACTTGAATATAACAACGATCACACGTATTCTTTTATATAAAGGTAGTGGCTACACCTACCCTGCTATTCACACTGCTTCAGTCCACCAACTCACTGTCTCCAAGACAAAACCAGAGCACGCTTGAGATCATAGAACAGTTTGGGTTGGAAAGGACCTTAAAGATCATTTAGTTCCCACCCCCCTGGGGGTTGGAAGGGACACCTCCCACTAGATCAGATTGCTCAAAGCCCCATCCAGCCTGGTCTTGAACACTTCCAGGGATGGGGCCTCCACAACTTCCCTGGGCAACCTGTTCTAGCACCTCATCACTCTCATAGTAAAGAATTTCTTCCTAATATCTAATCTAAACCTATCCTCTTTCAGCTTAAAACCCCTTGTCCTATCACTACACTCCCTGAAAAGAGTCCCTTCCCCATCTTTCCTGTAGGTCATTTTTAGGTACTGGAAGGCTGCTATGAAGGTCTCCCTGAAGCCTTTTCTTCTCCAGGCTGAAAAACCCCAACACTCTCAGCATTAAAATGTAGAAGCAGACCAAACCTTGATGACAGGAATTTGTCCCTGTGTTGCTGTTATTACCAGTAACAACAGCTGTAGCCTTAAGGGCTATGTCTAAAAGTTAGGTGTGATCTTAAACCCAGAGATGGCTCGTGTGAGACCTCACACAGAATCATAGAATCGTCTAGGTTGGAAGGGACCTTAAAGATCACCTAGTCCAACCTCACATACAGCAGCAAACCATAGCTCTGTTGACACTGCGGGTAATCCTTCCCAGACCTCTAAAACTCATTAACAAGGGGAAAAAAAACACCTCACCACTTGATTCCTCTTACTCTTTTGAGGTAAACACGGTTATGTAATAATATATATGGTTTTGGGACATACTATAACAAATTACAATTTTCCGCAGTTTATTGGGGGTAAAAAAAACTGTGCTACAGTCAAACTGTTTTCAATTCCTGGGTAAGAAATGGTCGGAATATCAATCTCTTTGGATGCCTGGGCTACACACACATGCTGCTCCAAAAATAAATATTTGCTATAGTTCTTCTTGACATCTGTGGCTTTAAGCTATTTACAGTTCATGATCAGATTCTTTTGCTGTGATGTTATTTATTTTCTCTGATTAACAAAAGCTCAAAACCCCAAGGAAATCATAATGAGGAGAACTGTAAATCGTGTACAGAAGAGCACCTGTACATCCAAAAATCAACTTAGATCCAACAAAGAAGTAAAGAAGCAAATCTCAGGGGTTTTTTAAGTTTGCATTCTTATTCATAATCCTAAATGCATGACGAGGATCCTTTGAATAGCTTGGCAGCATGACCTTATAAGAGTCAACTGGTAAAACTCCATATATTTCATTCTAGCCAGGAAACCATCATGTCCAAAAATGTAAATTAATAACCAAATGTCTGGTTTCCAAAGCAAGAGAAGCATTTTTACCTTTACAGGCAAATTGTGAGACAGCATAAATTTAAAAAAAAACTCAAGGGGGAAGGCAAAAATAGATGGAAAAAGATGGTTTAAAACAAGTCTATAGATTAGATGAGACATGGCTTAAAATTTATTAGATTTATTTAGGTTATGCAATTTCTGATTTTCTGTACATGAGTTTGGCCGCTAGCATGCTTTGGAAACATAAAGCACACTTTTTACTTTTCCGCATCTGGTATTATCCTTACTGTGTACTTAATAATTTAAAAATTTGTGAAAGAACTAAAATTTTCATAGTACTGTTGCTTTAGACACTTTTCTACAAATAGCACTGACAGACTTCAGAGAAGAAAAATTTTGAATTAAAAATACATAGATTGTAATACATAACTATGTAAAAAATTCAAAATACAAAAATTCCATTTTTAATTTAGAATCTGATTGGCCAAATGGTTTTATATAAAATGTACTCAAAATATTAATTAAAAATTTAAGACACTTTAATGTTCTTAATGTAACCTTAAAAAGTAACAGAATGAGACAATATGCAGCTTTTTCCTAAAACTAATAATATAACTATATACATACATATAATTCAGTTTTCTTTTACTTTGCGATACTGCAGAAAGTTATTTAATGCACAAGATTTTCAAGAGGCCTGGAAAAATATTTGCTTTATGACATATAGAATTTACTTAGAGTATTTAAGTGCAGTTTTATGCAATCCAGTACTGCAGAGCTCCATTATTCACTCTCATGTCATTTCTTCTTTCAGAACAAAGGAGTGATAAGGAGCCCTTGGAAAAAGAGAAACTACCCTGTTGGATGATGAGGGCAGTGATCCATCTTTCTGTCATATCTATCTTATTTCTGCTGGTGCTCAACCCCAGATGATTCTGACAAAGTAATAATGGAAAAAAACATCCTGGAAATACACCAAGAATAACTGTTCAGTTTTTCACTTCTCTTATACACATCCTCATGAAGGCATCTCCTAAAACAAGTAGTCCAGCCTAGATTATATTAATATCTGTAAGAACAATACCTTAATTTTACACATATTATAATAATCAAAACAGAATATACATTTCATCTGATCTTTAACATGTTGCAAAGTCTTGCCCTTCCTCCATGGATACCAATTATAACTGCATTGATTTCAATTCTTAGACTGTTAAGCAAAGTCAAATATTTCAGCAAGTTACACAGAATAGGTTTATTTTCCTCTTCAGAGGTATAAGCTACATTTCCTCCTGTTACTTCATTCCAGGAAATAAAACTAATACTAAGGTACACAAAGATAAATTATTTAAGTGATTGAGAAGAATCAGAATAGAAAAGAGATACCAGCCACTACCTTGTGCATATAGCTATACAGTCCTCTTCCCTTTTTGGTTTGCTTGTTGTTTTTTGTTTTGTTGGGTTTTTTTTCCCTCATTTCCTTTTGTTAGTGAGACGTAAGTATTTGTAACATGCTCCCCTTCATCTTGTAATCTTGACAAAACTCTGCTGTTAAGCCCTGCTGTTGTTGGACTGTGTGCAGAAGCATGTACAAGAGGAGCTGTTTCCAGAAGCCCATTGCTTTGTCTTTGGCCCTCCCAAGCTTCTGTGTGGTCAGCATAGGCTTTGTGGCCATACAATAGGGGTTAAACATTTCCCTGAATTTATTTAAAAGTAAAGCTAAATCTGCTTAGCTGCATGAACCTTTTAGTAAAATGATGCTTATTGTATTAGGGTGTTTTTCCATTTGTTTGTTTGTTTAAGAGTAATTGGTTTCTATCAACAAAAAGAAAGAAAAATATGTAGTTCCTTTGCATTACACACAGTGCACATACAACAGCAGTAAAATCAACAAAGATTTTTAT